AAGTTTGGGGAACACTGCTTTAGAAGGATGGCCCTGTTATGGTATTGAGGCCTCAGCCTGACCCCAGAAGAAGGAATTTCACATTAAATGACGACGTGAATCACAGTCTGCATGGAGAAACACACGGGCTGGATTTTGATCAAAACGTAAAAGAGTGAGATAGTCTCCAATATTCATCAAAGCTGAGCTGGATGGAGCAGATTGGGAACAGCTACTGAGAGGAGCAAACAGTATTTAAGTAATACTTAGAAAATAAAATAAATATTAGGGTTTGGAAAAAATAAATATTTAATTTGGAAATTAAATGTATACATTGGAACTAAATACTTAGACTAAGTATTTATTTTGGAACTAAATACTAAAACTAAGTATTTTTGCTAAGACTTGAACATTTGGGAACTAAATATTTAGTTTCCTAACTAGCTTGTGAACTCAATATTTAGTGTGAATTAAATATTTAGTTTGGAAGCCAAAATATTGCTGTAAATGTTTTACTGTGTAACTTTACAAATGGCACCCCATAGAAACATGAACACACAGTTATAGTTTTGCAAATGAGGTTTATTGAAATGAAGTTACACCAAACCTAACAGACCAACGTTTTAGAGGATGATGTCAGAGATTACAGAACTCGTGTTGCCAAGTTCTGAAATGGTGACAAACATAATCAACTCTTATAACATGAATCGAACAGTCAGCTGTTATGTTTTCAATTGAACAGGCAGCCTGTTTCTGATCCACTCAGTCATCCTTTACTTTTCTCACTAAAGTGTTTCTGTTCCAGTATTAGGGAATGACAGTAGATATTACAGGAAGTTTATTAAAAGCTTCCAGTCATGAAACAAAGTTCGGACCCTGGAGAAGCAGGGCGTGACTGAAATTCTCCAACATGCATCATTGTCCCATAGCAATACTGAAAACCTACAACATAACTGGTAGATTCATCAACCAATAACAGGCTCTTAACATCACTGATGGGCTGCTTTGCATAAATAATCTTTAGATAATAAAGCCAATATATTTTGTACATAAAATTAAAGTACGTTTTGGAAGTCCCATGTGATTTTGTTTGCCGATGAGTATAAATGATGCACTTCTAGACTAGAAATGCATCCAACAATGACCATCGATGGCTTTAGGCAACAGACTGTTGGATACATGTGACCGTGATGGCACAGAGGAGACATTTCAGCAGTTTGAAAATATTCGATTTGACCTCTGAATTTCAAAAATGGAAAATTTACAACTTTTGAAACAAAGTACAAAGTTTATTTTAGGATATTTTTGAGAATCTAAAGTAGTTTTTGTCAAAAATTTGAATTTTAGAGCTCAGAAATTTTCTTGTTTTTTCTAGAGTTTCTGAGATCAGTCTAAATTTCTGGCATTTCTGGTGGAAATTTAGTCCACCGACGACCCGAATACGCCACCATATAAACCTCTTTATACCCTCAATCTGTTACATTCAAAAACAACATCCACGAAAGAATCTGCAGCACATTTTCCCTCTCTTTTGTCTCAGTCATTAGAAAACTAAATTAAAATTGGTCCATATCTGGACTGGCAGGGCAGATGTCAGAGGAAATTAGAAATCTGCACAGACTAGGAAAAGTCTCTACCATGAAATCTGGGAATCTTTTAGAATGTCATGAACACAGAGTGAGGGAAGAAAACCAGCTGTTTATTCACTTTATTTGTTAAAAAGAGCAGCAGCCAAAAACAATACAAAAAGAGAGAAAGAAAAACTTTATTTTGGCCTTGATTTCCACCCATTTGCTTTTGGACGGCAACGTCACGCTGTAACAGGTCTGTATGCTGCTGAGGATCGCGTCATTAACAATTGGGCTGTTTGTATGGATGCAAATCTTGCATGTGCATACTACAAGACCTGAAAGCAGAACCCAGTAGGATGCTGAGGCCAGGTACCAGGCTGAGAGTGACTACTGCACAAGGAATCACCACATCAATTTTCTTGAAACGTAAAGATTTGGAAATGTTGTATAATACTATGGAAAAAAAACAAAAACAAAACATGTCTTTAAAAGGTTGCTGCACGGGAGCTTTTACTAGAGAACACCCTCCCAGTGAACCTGTATACTGTGACTGCTAATAAAGACTAACACAAAGACGGGGGAAAGAGCTCCTTAACGCATCTTGTACTCCAAAGTCTTTGACATCTCACACAGCTGACCCCTGAAATCTACATCGACGGCAAAGTCCAGGTCTCTCTGCAAGAGAGAACACAGGTCAGAATTGGGAGGACTAAATGGAAGGTGGTGGAGCAGATCCTGCTTCGTCCACTTACATTGTTCTTGACGTTTGGCTTCATGCTTAAAGTGCCGAAGATTTCTTCTCCAGTCTTTACGGTCAGGTAGTCGTCCAGGTAAAAAACTGTCTGCTTCCAGTGGGTGTAAGGAGACTCTGGGCCTGGAAGCACAAAGTTAAACCACCTGAATGTTACCTACTGGAAACTCAAAAATAATTTTTCCCCCAATCGTGAATGCTCCATGTGTAGGTGCCTAAAGCCTGGCGTCAGCTATAGGTGCAGGTGGGAAAAATTAAGATGATGCAGAGAATCACAATTCCTGGGAATTCTGAATCAATTCAAAATGCTCAAGAATCGATTATTCTAATTACTTTGTAAAATTATAGTGTGAATAACTCTGATTTTTTTTATTTTTATTAAAGAGTTATTCACACCAGGGAGCTAAGCTAACTTATTGCTAATAATTTAAGTTACAGAATTTATGCACAAACAAATTTTTGTTTAAATATAAGCTGAAGAAATTTGATACAGCATGGAACCTTATAAATAAATGTGTATTTCTTTACTGAGGTTCTTTAAAGGTATTTGCTACTTTAAACTAACATTTGTTATTGTGACTATGTGGGGCGACTGTGGCTCTGTGGGTAGAATAGTCATCTTGAGATCATAAGATTTTAGGTTCATCTCCAGCTTCCTCCTGCCACACGTTGATATGCCTCTGGGCCAGTGGTTTCCAAACATTTTCTGCGCCCCCCCTATGGATTACAAATGGCTGTCTGGTTGAAACGACGCATGTGCCGGGGGCTGAAAATAGACACCAACATCGGTAGCCTACAAGCTACTTGTTAAGCCTAAGGTGCTGTATTGATATTAGCTAGTCATCTTTTAGCTAACATTACCTGCAGCTTTACTCACCTCAGTCGGTTAGTTTGGAGGAAAAACTGTGAAAAGTTCTTTGCGTTTTGCTGGTTTGCTGCCGTGATTCTAACACACCTGTAGCTCCGCCCAGCAGCAGCAGGTCTCCTTCACAGGTGGGAACCCAGCGCGAGCGTTGTAGCGCTCATGTTGCGTTTAAAGGCGGCTCGGGAAAACAGGTTAGAACATGTTAACAACGGATTAAACAGTTTTAACTGCTGATAAAAGTGACACAGATATGGGAAGTGTGGAAGCCTCTACTGTATCAAATTGACATAGGAATAACAGAGAGTTGGGTAAAAACCCAGCGCATACAGTGTTCATGTTTTGTTTGTTTTTTTTCATCCAGACGGCGCCCCCCCTGCAATGACACTGCAACCCCTCTAGGGGGCGCGCCCCACAGTTTGGGAACCTCTGCTCTAGGCATTGCTTACTGGTCTGCATATATAAATATGCGAGTGCAAATGGTTGAATGTGACTCCAGTGTTAAGCACTTTGAGTGGTCAAAATGATTGTAAAAGTTCAGTCCATTTATACAAAGCAGACTAGGGTGTATTTGCTAATTTATTGCAAAGGAACTCAATAGTTATTGTGAGAGAATTGTATACTTTTGCAAGGTAACACAAAAGAAAAAAAATCCCCCATGTCCTCAAGGACGCTCCGTACAACAGAATACCACTGCAATATTATTTTAAACCAACATGAGAAAAGTTGATTTATTTAGCGTTGATGGTCCTTTCTGACACTGAGATGCCCGGTCTGAACCACAGCTTGCTGCTGCTTGTAGGAAATCAGTGTGATTGGGTCCTAATTCAAGTAAGGGAAAAGCCCACTGACTGGTGGAGAAGCCGATCCTCTTGTGGCAGCGAGTGAACTCTATGTTGAAGTAGGTGACCAGAGCGTGGATGTAGTCGTTCCTCTTCACTTGCAGGCAGAACGGTGAGGTGAAGGTCAGGTCCTCCGCCTTCACTGTGTAGATGTCCACCTCCTAAACACACACACACACACACACACACACACACACACACACACACACACACACACACAGCAAATATTACCTGACACGTCCTCTGACCACTTAATTTGTCTGACTACGGACGTATCCGTGTCCACTCACCCTGATGAGACAGGAATTGGTGACCAGCTGCTTAGGGTCCACCACGTCCACCAGGGGTTCCTTTATTGCCACCTCCTTGATGCAGGACATGTCAAAGCCATACACATTCTCCCACCCTGAGGAGGAAGCAGGTCACAGGTCATATCCAGCAAAGATGTTTCAACCCTGACACGACTCCCCAAACTTACAAGAAAAAAAAAAAGTGACCAATAGAGCAGGAAGTAAAAAAACATCTGTCCTCTAAGAAAGAGCTGAAGATGTATGAAAAGAGCAGCATGTAGTGACCTTTGACCCTTCAGATCAGTGATGATAGAAAAACCAGCAGCTCGCTTGGAACACAAGAGCATAGTAAAGAGTTCAAACTCATGGTGTCGCACACTAATCTGTTTCAAAATGTTTCACTTTGAGACGAATCTATAGAATATTTATAGTTCCACTTTCTGAAATAAGAGACAAAATAATGAAAGTTTTCCACACTATTTTCATTTTTTTGCACCTCCAGGTTACACAAAGCACTGAGTCAGGTTTATATAAGGCATCTTCCAAAAGTATGTACAAACCCCAAGACTTTTACATAGTATATAACCACAAACTATGTGTTTTTGTTGGGAGTTCATGAACAACACAAATCAGTTCAATATTAAGAAGAGGAAGGGTACTGATACATGGTCTGTGTTTCTTACATTACTTCCAGTCGGAAGTAACAAGTACTCAAATTAGTAATGAGATTACTTTAAGCTAGGGATTTTCTAATCAGGTTTTATCCTGTCGATCATTGATACCGATCACACAGATTGTTTTTTTTAATTGTTTGAGAAATACTACTGGCTGAAACGGAAACATAAGTCACTTGAATTTTGACGACAAAAATCAAACTTGCACAACAACGCAGCAGGATAGCTGAAATCCTGACTGTAAGGCTCTCAGCAGTCTAAAGTCAAATAAATCTCAAAACGTTGTCCATATCAAATAATGGTAAATTAAGAAAGGAATCATTCCAAGTCAAATCCAGGTAGCATTGTTGATAGCTAACTTCTGTGCAAGAGGAAATTCTGTTGCACAGTATGAAAAACAAAAAAAATTAATAATTTATAAATGAATAGAAATAATGAATCAGGGCTTTTTTTCCATGCCCAAGAGGGGGACAGGAGGTGTACATCTGGTTAGTCCAGGGAGGTTGCAGTTCTGGAATATTACAGCACTGGAAGATAACGTGTTCCTGGTAGCTTCACGTTTGATTAATTGTGTTATGTGCTTCGGGCACATTATGATTTTTGTCTACTTTTTTTTTGTTTTCTTATAGACCTTGATTAAATGACATTTTGTAAATATAATTTGGAGTTTGGATAATTTCTTTTTGGATATTTAATTACGTTAATTTGTGGTGCTGTTGGTCCGCCTATAAATAGGCTGGCTTTCGGCATGTAGGGAGCCTCCCCTCCATTCCCGCCTGGGCTCCGCCTCTCCGCTTGCTTCCGCTCGCTCCCGCTCGCTCCACCACCACCAGCTGCTGTGGGCCGCAGCTGAGGGTTCCAGCCTGCCATGCGGTATCTTTGTTAACCTTTGTTTGTTTGTTTGTTTTTTCGTTGTGATTTTGGCCTGGTGGGACCGGTTGTCCTGTTTTCGATCTTTCTTTTGCATTAGGTTATTTTTGTTTTAGTCCGGTACGAGTAGGGGCTTCGACGGCCCTGTATAGGGTTGGCCCCCTGCTGTACCGTTTTGTTATGTTTGATCGGCTCACCAGGTCCACCTTTCTGTTACTACTTTCGGGGTTTTGTTTTCTTTATTTTTCTTTGGGACACGGGATTTGAGGGTTTGAATATTATTTTCTTCACAGAAAAGCAGAAGAACCTGAATTAAGAAAAACAAAGTGAAGAGAATTTATGAAT